GCAGCGCCTAATACACTTTTTAATCACAATATAATATTTTCGGCGTATTATATTAATGGATTAACATTTTTACTGGTTTCCAACCAATTTTTTCAAGTTTATTAAAATTATAATAGTCTTCTGTCGCTATTTCGATTCATCAAGTTCCTCAATCGAGTTCATTTTCTAATCAAACGTGTTGGCATTTACATTTGACTAACAATAAGCTTCGAAGTCATTTAACTTTTTAATTCATCTACTTTTCTTCAAACCACAACGAAAGTCGCGGAAGCCGACCATCAAACCACCCGCTTTTATTTCTCCGCGGCATCGTCGCGGTCGAAGTATCGAGCATACGAGAGCGACCGGTGCACCTGCCAGCCTTTCCATAGATTTTCAAGGCAACAACCGGATGTAACCATACGCAGTTTCACGGTTCTCGTATAACTGTTACGATTCGTACGCGTTTCTTGGAAATGCGTTTCCGCTTTCTTTCCTTTAGTCGACACGAGTTTTAGTTGAGAACAAAATTGCCGCATTGTTGTCATATATACATAAAAATCGGTATACAACTTTCATTTTGTTTAAGAATTTTAATCGATCAAATCATGGACACACACATTATCGACAAATTAAATGTGAAAAATTTAATTTGCCCTAAATAAGTTTATAACCTAACCCTAAAAGAGAATGACTGACAACGTACCTATATTTTAACAGATTACCTTCAATTGTTTGTTGTGCATAGAAAACTATAAAAAAATAAGAAATATGAAGACTTTCTTATGTATGATTCCATATGAAGTTATATATATAATGAATAAGAGCTCACTGATTACATGAATTATGTTAATTCAGCTAAACAACGAATATGCAAACATAGTAAGAACCACGTCTCGTAGTGCATACGTGGAGAAAATGCGCTTCTCGCAGATTTCTCATTCGCACGTTATGTCGTTGTGAAATTCTTCTTGTCGTTCCGCGAAACATTGTCGGGCGTTAACGGCGACATGCTGTTTTAGCGCGAATTGGACTTTAACGTCCGATTTCTAACGTCTGTTTTCGGTCGATGTTGTCACTTGCGTCTTAACTTTGCCCGTGTTTTGCGGGAAAATGGGGAAAACTCGTCGCGTCCCAAAAGGTTACTACACCTAACCGAGTTTGTTTCGAGAAAACATCACCTTCAAATAGGAATCTCTGAATCAAATCTATTTAAGACTGTGCCGTTATTCACATATCAGACACGTCATACTTAAATGAAAGTTGTACTGTAAATCACGTTCGAGTTCTATTAAGAAAATTTTAATTCGTAGCTAGTTAAAAAATTATATCAAATCGGACATATCATATTTAAATAAAAACTAAATGCAGCGCAAATCATATTTATTTCCTCTAAGAAAATTTCGATTTGTGTAGCTAATTAACTATAGATAAAAAGAAAAATGAGAAATACGAGACATCCTGTACATCTTATTTACATTTCGTTAAATTGTTAATTTAAATCCTTCGTTCATTTACTGTAACGTTGCAATATGTTTTTTATACCTAAGAGAATTTTTCCCACGACACGATATAAATTTCTTTCTCTTTCTCTGTTTCTCCGCTTTTTCGCCGGACCATCGTTACGAAACGTGAAAGACCGCGTTTATCTTCCACGTCGGCGGCGACCGCGTTAAACTCGCGTCCCTGAGAGCTTATACAAACATGCGAGGAGGGGGGGGGGGGACAAGATATCAAGCAGGATATACGTCGCGCTTTTCCCACCCTCGTCGGATAGGAGTCAACGAGTAAACTTCAAACGTATCGCCGGCTGTTAGCGACGGATGAAATTGTCTTGCGCGGTCGTGGGCCGATTAGGTTCCCGCGCCTTCTCGCGATGGCAAATGTTATCTATTTAATTTCCTTTTCTCGAGCCTGAGACAAGCTGCCCCATCTCGGGGAGTTTATTCAACCTCCCAGAAGAGGGTCGATGAGTATTTTCGCTTCTGTTCCACCGCCGTCTTCCTCGTGACCTCGCGGAGAGAATTGGAACATCCTGGGTATCTTTGTCGAAAATTTGCAAGTTGCACGACTGTTTTAACTGCTCGACGATGTTATGACCGGATACGACACACCGCGGTAATACCTTCCATTTATTCGAAATAAATATCGGCTTTTCTTCAAAAAGGATTTTGTCACAGAGTAATTATTCAATGTTTGCTTTCTGTAGAGATGATTGAGTTTGCTGTAGTTAATAAAGACTAACAGCTTTTCCGATATTTGCTTATGAAAACGTATGGTGGAATCGATTTAATCGGTTGGTTGATATTCCGCGAGCATATGCGCGCTCATCGATGTGCACACGTATATAGTTTCCGATATTCATTTTGCAAAGATGCAGATCAGGCGCTATTGGCTCTGGCGAAACATTCAATTTTTGCGAGAAAGTCGACGAGCGGTTCTTCTCTCTCTTGAATATTCGTTATTCTTTACTTGGATAAAAATCCAGATCTTCCATACACGTTCAACGTAATTTGTTTGAAACATGCATAGATTCGCTAGTCATATTTTATTAAGTTCTTGCCGATGTAAAGTTTTGAGCTAAGCGTCTGATTTTCGCGTGTAATACTTATTTATTTATTAGCACATCTATGCACTAAAAAAAAACACCGTCTCAAATATTTAGCACCTCTATTTTTCATTTATCTATTTCTGTATCGTTGTAACAGGCTATATTTTAATACAACCGAGTTGTCAAAAAGAGGAATCAAGCGTTTCACCTTCTCTGTTCAGCATATTAAAAATACAGATACTGTCTCGCAAAAATAGCGCTTTTTTCGATCAAAATTGATAAAACGTCATATATAATCTTTTCTATATATGTAAAAGAAAAAAGATTCTGCATATCAAAGTGCCATCAAAAATTAGTATTTTAAAATAAAATAGTAAATCAAGCTAAATCAAGTTTCGAGACAGAATTTAATAATTGGTACGTTATGTTCACCGAATAATTCGTACAAATGTGATATCACATTTATCACCATTAATCGAGAAAATAATTTTTTTTACACATACATCACACAGATACTTCATTTGTGAAAATGAAAGAAAATTGAGATTTATTTACTCTCTTTAAATAAAAGTAAGAAATTTAATACCAATCTTACAAACAAATAAAATTACACAATTGTCTCTCATTTTTTAAATTAAATACTAGAGAAAGATTCAATATAAATTAAAAATCGGTATTTTGAAATATATTTATCATACTTTTTGGTTGATCAGTATAATTTGGACAAACGTTTCGTATGGCAGCGTATTATGTGAAGTATTGGCGCAAAAAGCACGCGGGAAAGCGTGATTTACTTTACAGCCGGGAATGATACTGGGGCGGAATGTAATACGATGTCCAAGTCACTATTGTGATAAGTTAATCACGAGTCGGAGAGTGCGGAATTCCAAGGGTAAATTTTCCAGCAGGTATGAAAGTGCTGCCGGATGCGAGCTGCACAGGCGTGTTTACCCTCGGAGTTTGCGACTTGATAATACGCCATTGGCTTGTTATAACGGTGGGCCGACGTGCATTACGACGGCCCCGAGAAACGTCCCGTTGCTTCAATAAGATAGCTTCAACTCCACGGTCCACGGATTTGCGAAGCTATTCTTAGCTGCAAACAAAGCCGGAAAAATTTGGTAAAAGCTGAGAGAAAAATATCTTCTGTAATTAA